CGAAAAATGCGAGCCACCTGGCCATCCTCAGTGACAGACGAGGCGACGGACTCGCAGTGCGTAGTGATACAAGAACTTTATAAACCACAAACGATTTCCAGCTCTACCCTCAACATGACAAGTGCATACTTCATGGCAAGTAATTCATTATCTTGGACTGGGAAGTCTGTTTCCGCAGTCTTAAGCTGGCGAGATTCGAACGCGATCACCCACTCTCGCGCCTCGGCGTCTGCTTGCAGCAGTGCACAGCCGATGACAATGTCCAAAGCGTCACAGACGTCACTCAAAGACGATCAGGGTTTGACAATGTCATTATTGGTGCATGAAGGAGGCTATCTTTGAACACGTCAAAAGCCTCTCGATGTTCAGTGTCCCATCACAATTCCTTATCTATCGTAAAGAGAATCGACAATGGCCGTGTCATTTCTGCATATTTCTCGCTGTACTTGTGCAAGTAGTTGGCGAGACCAAGGCACTCGCGCAGGTCCTTTTGGTTCTTTGGAACCGGCCAGTCCACAATGTTCCTGATCTTAGCGGTATCCGCTCGAAGGCCACGCTTCCCAATAAAGCACTCTACGAAGGGATTTTTTTCGCGCCGAAGATGGACTTATCTGCATTAACATACAGCTTATTCGTGAGCATGCACTTGAGCACCGCTCCGAATTGGACGATGCAATTATTTTCATCCGTCATCCAGTACTCCGCACGACTTTGGACGAAGATGTTGTCGAATATGTTTGTGCATATGCCCGGTGGGGTCTATACAGATGCATCGCAGGACGATTAAATGTTGCTGGTGCATTTGACAGTTTTTGGGACACCACTAGCTACTCCAGAAGCATGCTAGTCGGTGTGATCACCGCTGGCTACGGAATACCACTCGCTGCCATGAGCAATTGGTAATAACCATCCTCAAAGTCGAGTGCACTGTACTTTGTACATCCAACCATGTTGTTCTGGATAACATCCTTTTGAGAAATCGGCGTTTAAGCGGCAATGGTGTCAGCGTTGAGCTTTTTGTAAGCGTGAACGATACGCCACTTGCCGTTTGGTTGCCGGACACAAAACGTGGGTTTCAAATGGGGATGCTTGCTCTCACGCACCATATCTGACTCGTGCTTTGCACGAAAAACGGCATCAATGACGCCACAGTGCTCCTTGGGCAGGAGCCATTGGCGTGTTACACAGTATTTGCTTTCCTGGACAAGGTCGATCTCATGACGATCCAGCGGCCCGACGGCGGGCGTTTGGAGACGACGTCTGGAAATTCTCTCATCCAAGGATAGTTTGGATCCGAAGGATTCTTCAGGATCGAGATTTCGCTCCGTGCGTTCAGTACCCTCTTAGTGTCCTCAAGGACAGCTTCATTCAGAAGCGACGACAAGTTAATCTTCTTGTTCGGTCGTATAATGACCGAATCGGCTAAGTCGCCTGCCTACAAGGCACCGCCGAGCACTTCGAGGGACATCTCGTCCAGCTAAAGAAGAGCATCCTCCGCCGGAAAAGCCTTGAGGCTAGCCACGCCATCTTCCTCCCTCGTCCTACCGCTGACGAGGGTGTACAACTATACGCTATCGTATACGGTAAACATACCCTGGGCCAGGTTCGACGTCCGACGTCTTGCAGATAGCATACGGCGTCGCCATCGCCTCTACAAGGATTGTACGTCTTGGCGAGACCAGTGGGATCACGCACTCAGCCTCATCCAGCGTTAGCCCCACTAACTGCTCAACCGGAGACCTGATGATATTCACAACATTCAGCGAACAGCTGCTGGCTTCGCAGCCTTCGTTCACTGGGAAAAGTGTCGCTCCACACGCATCTGAAGGGCCTTGCCAAAGATGTTCCGGACCTAGTCCGGCCATGCCACTCTTGGCATGCAGCAATTGCATTGATACTTGATCAGTGCCCTGCCACTCCACATTCAGCCCACGAGCCATGCTCGGGACTCCTGTTCGATACACCTTCAGTGTTTGAAAACTCAGATACTTCAATATCCAGCACATTAACCGTCCTGGTTTGGTGCCCGCGGCAATAGCTCTTCTGCTTCCTGGCAGAAGTGAGATAATGATTCACCAAAGCTTCACCAAGAGACGTGCGCGTAGCATTAAAGATCTACGACCTCAATTCGATCTATCACTCACGGTGTTCCGACCACGAATCCAAGTCAAAGACTAGGCAGCGTTCCACGCTATTAAGGCCAAGAAACTTGACACGGAGGTCCATAGGACCCTCGGCACCGTAACACATATCCACACATGTCCCCGTTGCTGAGCGAACACTGACGATGTCACTCAGCCGTGCTTTCAGCGCCTCAACAGACATATGACTTCCTTCCACCGTAGAGCGTCAAGCATAACTGCCTGACGCCCCGGAGTCGATTAGGATTTTCAATGGCTTCTCAAAGCCCTCCACAGTCGCTTTCACGACCAGCAATCCCGCTTGACGCACCTTACACCCGTCCGAAGGTGACGGGTGTCTCCACAGACATAACGCCGTCGGGCGCTCGAACGCTGCTCGGCATCTCAGAGATCTGTCTCCTTTTTCTCAGCATAGCTGAGATCCATCGGCTGAGGCCCGCTTGACGAGCTGCTAGAGTGTGCTGTCCAGCCAATTCGTGCCGACTTAGAGTAAAATTTGGCATTTAGTTCTACATTCACTGCTTTTCAAAAGAAGACCGATGCACGCGAAAGACTTTCATTCTAGCCACACCAGTGCGAAGGCCCTTCGGAAAGTCGGTCATTGTGACCGTTTGGGGAGAGGATCGGCTGCCATATCGGCAATGAGAGAATGCAACACTCTGACAAAGTCCACCAATTCTTTCTTGTCCTGTCGGGGCGTCACGGAAACGGGATCGCACGCGATATGCCTGGTTACACCAAGAACACTCGTAAAAGCTGCAGCTTCAGCTCCGTCCAGAAGGGAGACGCTGCTTTGACCGAAGTGCCGCACATCAGTGCCTTACTTGCGCTCGACCCCCGAGCTGAAGACAGCTAGCGTCACGCGTTGTTGCTCGGTCTAGAGCATGCGGACGCCATGGCTATCTCGACTCTCTCGACCAGAGCCTTATCTACATCCTTGTCCTCGAAGGTCTTAACGATCGCCATGAGCGGCCTGGGTCGAAAGGAGTCATTCGTCGCCGATGGTGGCGTCATGTAAGCAGTCGATGCTGACAACTTCTGCCCTAGGTGGTCCAGCAGAGCATTTTCATAGTTCGGAAACGCCTATAGGCGCGCGCTGACCGATTCAGGTCCTTGCGAAGCGAGGTGCCGCAAGTTCCCAAGGCCAAGCTGAGACATCTACTATTTAAGCCCGCTGGTGAAAGTAGGAAAACTGCTCCATCCTCACGGAAGGTCAGTCGGAGCGACTCAGGTGTAGATTGACTACAAGTGCTACCAAGTGTTGCGGTACTGCGTCGGTGACCTGCGTTTTACACTTAGAGCCAGAACTAGTGTGGCAGATCTCAATTCGCTTACTTCAATCGTAACCACAACCTTAACCCAGACAAACAAACTCTTCCACTTAATATGTGAACTGTATTTCTTTGTTTACTTGCGGCAAAGCCGCTTATATCTAAAGCATTAGGTTCTTTTGATTAAATAGTAGAGCTATAACTACCGCCAGTCCAGCCACGTACTGAGATCTTGTTAAGGTTAAGCCTCACCATTGTGTGATAACACAATCTTGTGTAACCCACCCCTTCATACCAGGGTACGTGTAACGAAACAGTCTCGTAATACTTTGTTTCATGTCACCCATACTAGCTGGCAGGTCATGATAACTACTAGAGTTCTCGTGGTGAATGACTTTGGTAGCTGATGTAAAATACTTACGATGCTACTACACGATACTCACGTTCGAAACTGTTTTTATTCCACCAAATTAATCTAAAGCTTGTCATACATATCACATAAAAAATTATGTAGCTTGAAAGTCAACAGAAACAATCTTTATCAGTGATCCAATCTGCACTTTGTGCTGCATTGCTTGATTATTTAGTGATGGTATGTAGCAGGATTGGTAACAACTGACACCTTGAAAAGAACGACAAAATCAGTTTCTATATCGGCACAATTTCTGTAAGTAGTAATCATGTATATGTAGAAGCCTCAAATGTGTGATGCTAATCATGGTAATATCTCCCTCCGAACATTCTCGTTATTCGAATGGCTCTCAAGTGAAGGCACGCATTGTTTACAGTCAATCATACAAATTTAAACTAGAAGTATTCCCTTAGCATTTTCAACAGAGCATCATCATAATGTACAGAGGATTATTCTAGAAGACAGGCTAAACTTGGTTGCTTTTATAATAAGGGTCCAACATCAGTGTGATTGATGTCACAGACTTGCGGCCAGTTATGCTTCTACATTACACTCGTTTGATCAGCTACAGATTTATATAGTATTTTCAAGCAAATACAACTAACTGGTAATCGCGTCTTATCCAATGCGCAGCCGCCAACGCCATCGGTTGTTCGCGATACTAGCGTATGTTTTGTGGCTCCCGAGCAGCATCACTACGTCGCGATGAATGGTGTTTTTACTCTCAATTTCCGATCTCGAAAATTTAATCAGCCAGTCAGTAGGGAGACATCATCTATGATCGCAAACATTTCGACAAAAAACGGCTCATGCAGCATTCTTTGTTCTTGTAGATCAAACTTTTCAGGATCAGGATTAGAAAATCGTTCCCACTACTGCTCATTATTCTGCATACTTTATATGTTTTCCACTCTCCATTCTTTCGAGTTCTTTGACACGGAATCGCGTACTTTATCTTTTCATGTGATTTGCACGAACAAGCGAATGAGAGTTACTCGTTTAATTTGTCAATCAAACATCTGATGCACTTTATGCCACTATAGTATGTGGTGTTAGCCTTACAAATATTGTACAGCGCGTTTCAACTGTATATCACTAGAACTGGACGTTTTCAATCTACAATATATAAGCGACTGTGAGTTGACTATTTCTGCTTGAAGCCACAAGGAAGTTTTGATGCGTTTGTACTCGTGCTTTTCCCTATTCGTATTTAAGCTCTACACTAGCATTGCTCCAAGTGTGGAGGCGTACCAATTAAAAAACTTTGGTATCGAACCAGTCTCTGAACCTATCGCATTTGCTGCAAACCAGAGCGAGGATGACCCAGAAGTAGCTGGACAATCTCAAGACAACGAGGGAAAAGGCACAATCGCATTTAATAGCGTCACAAACGAAGAGAGAGATGGCACTAATTTGATATTGAAGTTAAAAGCCGTATCTCCGTTATCAGGTGAAAGTCAAACAGGTGAAAGTTTGATGCTCGAAAAATTACTGGCAAAGCGATCAGCGGAGAGTAGTGCCTTTTAAGACAGCAAGATATTTCATACAAACAGCTTTTTACGGTCCAAGACAGCGGCAAAAAAGAAAGCTGTGGTAATGAAGCAAGCAGAGGTGAATACGGCGCTTGCGTCTTTGCTTGCGCATGTCGGACCAGGTGTTACTGGAATTAAAATGTTTGAGCCTGTAGAGATTTTTAGCAAGTTGCGCTTCACACACGCAGACCTCAAAGGTGATCTGATTGTTGCTTGGCTTAAGTACTTCTTTAGGCACAAAATCGAAGGTTCTCAGTCCGGCAAAAATGATCCCATTCTTGAGCTAGATGCTCAGTATGAAGCTTTTGATTTGCTCATGAGCATTGGTGGGACGGAAGTGGAAGACCTGACTCGCTTGTTTAAAAGGATACCATCTGACACGAAGTATAAGATTCCTTTGTTTAAAAAAGCAACATCCGAATCTGACACGAGGTACAAGGCCTTCGTTGAGAGTATGCAAGATCTGGCTAAACGAGAGCGCCAATCGAGTGATTTTCTTACTCGAAAAGGCTCGAAAACCCCTAAGGATTTTTACAAGGAGTTGAATATTGATCCTCCTGAAGCAAATGTCGCTTTTTGTCAGTGGCTTAGATACGGCGAGCGTTACGAACGGGATTTAAATCTCAACAAGCACACCGATGGGGGCGAGGATGTCTATGGTTCAATGGCGAATGAACTGTTGAATGGTGATCGTTACGAAGAAATGGCGCAGCTAATCGAATCACTCAGTAACGCGCCGAAATTTCAGGGGGTGGCACATAATATCGGGAGAGCTATGCGAAGACAAGAAGCCAGCAGTATGCTTGAGAGTGGCGATACACCAGAAAGCGCTTATTATCGTTTGTTTAAAACTGGATTGCCCCCTGCTGAAAACACGATCAACTTTCTTCTGCTGCTTGAATTTGTCAAAGCGTATAAATCCAAGAACAACTATATAACAAATGACCTCGTTGAATTTTTAACCCGGGGGCACGAAGGCTTCCTGTTGTATTATGGTTCTGTGTTTGAGAAGCTTGAAAACTCCACGGATTTCAAGGAAATTGTCGATGACGCTCTGAAAACGATTTTTGAGGAGATATCAGAGCAGAAGATCAGATTATTGGATTATGTAAAGTGGTACAAAGCAAGCATCCAGGATCTATTGGATTTAATAAGATTACGTGGCGAAAAAGCAAGCGCAGATGCCGATTATGGATTCAACTTCGACTTGATATAATAAAAATCGACTAGTCTCGTTTCGACCACTTCCAGGAGAGTCAAATCAACTTGGTAAGGATTTGCGTGATTATTTTACTGATTTTTGTTTGTCCATAGAGATTCTGCTGTAGCGGATTTTCATGCTCAATTGTTTCACTGAGCTGTTAGGTCATTGATCAGCAAAAGTCATTTAGTCATTTGATCAATTTTGTTGTATCTTTCTGGTTAATCTTCACTTCGTAGTTGGCCAAGAATACTTTAATATATTGGCTCATTTTGAAATAGATATAAATATATCGATAATTACATGTCACTTTCATATTTCTCGAGATAATAGATATACTATTTTTGTAAAGATTCTGAGTGATTGCAGCAAAAATAAGACCAAAAACACGGGCTCTAGATGTGTTGTCAGAGTGTAGAGACATCTTGACAAGCACCACTCGAGCAGATGTTCACCACAGATGTTATTATATCCAAAAACTCGTAGGTTTGCTCAACCTGCTGTTTTG